TAATATGGAAGATATTACATGTACGATCATTCATTATGAAATATTTTACTGCCGTTCAGTATGAGATGTTTTTCCTGTTGTCTAATATAGAAGGTATTACATGTACCATCATTCATTATGAAATATTATACTGCAGTTCAGTATGAGATGTTTTTCCTGTTGTCTAATATAGAAGGTGTTACATGTACCATCATTCATTATGAAATATTATACTGCAGTTCAGTATGAGATGTTTTTCCTGTTGTCTAATATAGAAGGTGTTACATGTACCATCATTCATTATGAAATATTTTACTGCAGTTCAATATGAGATGTTTTTCCTGTTGTCTAATATGGAAGATATTACATGTACCATCATTCATTATGAAATATTATACTGCAGTTCAGTATGAGATGTTTTTCCTGTTGTCTAATATAGAAGGTGTTACATGTACCATCATTCATTATGAAATATTATACTGCAGTTCAGTATGAGATGTCTTTCCTGTTGTCTAATATAGAAGGTATTACATGTACCATCATTCATTATGAAATATTTTACTGCAGTTCAGTATGAGATGTTTTTCCTGTTGTCTAATATAGAAGGTATTACATGTACCATCATTCATTATGAAATATTTTACTGCAGCTCAGTGTGAGATGTTTTTCCTGTTGTCTAATATGGAAGATATTACATGTACGATCATTCATTATGAAATATTTTACTGCCGTTCAGTATGAGATGTTTTTCCTGTTGTCTAATATAGAAGGTATTACATGTACCATCATTCATTATGAAATATTATACTGCAGTTCAGTATGAGATGTTTTTCCTGTTGTCTAATATAGAAGGTATTACATGTACCATCATTCATTATGAAATATTTTACTGCAGTTCAGTATGAGATGTTTTTCCTGTTGTCTAATATAGAAGGTATTACATGTACCATCATTCATTATGAAATATTTTACTGCAGTTCAGTATGAGATGTTTTTCCTGTAGTCTAATATGAAAGGTATTACATGTACCATCATTCATTATGAACTATTATACTGCAGTTCAGTATGAGATGTTGTCTAATATGGAAGGTATTACCATCATTCAATAGGAAATGTTTTGCTGAAGTTCTATATAACATGTTCAATTGTTGCCTATTATTACAGTTTATTATGAAAGGTTTTGCTCTTGATATGAAGCCTTCAAATACAATTGGTTGCTATGACAACCTATTATGAGATAAGCAGCGCTGAGTCTGTTTAATAAGTCTAATAGAAAAATCTGATACCTGGGCCAATAAAAGTTGACAACGCCTAATAGATTACAAATACCTGGAATGATCTCCTAATTGGTAAATTGAGTGCTACCTTTGTGGGAAAGGCATGATTCTCAGGAAAAGGTGATGTAATAGAAGCGCTGTATGTTCACCAAAAGCAGATATACTCGTATATCATTATGTGCATGATTAGATGTCAGAAATTGCAAAATATCATGTATTTATTTTTTAGGAGAAATTTGAACTAAAGTTTTGAGATTTAAGGATAGGGATAGTTCAATATAGATAATTTGATTGGCTTTACTTTATTGAACATGATATGGATTAGGGTGAGTGGATGAGAGATGTAATTAGGAGAGTCACTTGAGTGTAAATGTCATACATAGGTTAATAATCTCCTTTGAAGTAAATGCTTGAGGTGATTTTTGAAACAGGGGAGGAGAATTGAATAAGACGATTTGTTCTGTCTTATGTGAGAGGTTCTGCTACAAAGCCCTATAAACCCTATCTATCTGACCATCCTTGTATATGGAATTTATTTTGTATCAAAAATGGACAATACACAATCCATATGAAAAGTCGAACCCTATGATGCGCACAATCGAACTATATGATTCGGACAGAATATTTAGCATAGAATACTGAAAGAATTGTACAAAGTAAATTTTGAACGAATGTGTCAATTTTACACATGCATTAAATTCAAAGTCTCTTAGGATGGTTCCAGCCCGCATAGGCTGTCACAATCAACTTGCACCTCACATAGGGTGCGAGATTTGGAGTTATGTGACATCCTGGTTTCTACAATACGGCGCCTTCCATAGAAAGTCATAAGTCACATGAGATTTCAAAAAATCGCGAACAAAATCTTTGTTTGTGCGAGCCGTATAAGCATTTGTTTGACATTTGTACTATGTTCGATGTCATTTTTATTAAACAATGCATTTACAAATATGCATGTACAAGTGTGATTTTACTAACACGGTGTGTGCAAACTTGAACAAACCATGTATGAAATTAAACGGATTGTGTATGTATTTCTGCTAGACGCTATTGAATGTGTTAGATATCACATAAATATAAGATGTCCAATTTTGATACAATTTTAACACCTTACTTGTCAACATATTTTGCAAAAATAGTAGTGTAATGACCCTCAATAACAAGTTGCTTCTTCAGTATCAGCTGTAGTGGTTAGCCCTTATGGCTCAATCATCAAACTTTGGAGCAGAAGGTCCTTTTCTTATGTCACTCTCTTTCATGTCCAGTTTTTGGCTTGTAACACTATAGTTCCCCAGACGAGCATCCTCGGGTTGTTACATTAGCACATTTTTAATTGTATTCATTATCAATCACTCCTGCATTTCTTATGCAAGTCTATCCAATCGTACAACACTCCCGGTTTACAAAAATTGTTTTCAAATTTTTCAATTTGGCAAGAGTCATACAAACACCTTTGAAAGTTTTGATGATGCTCTGAACTCAGATTTCTTCCATTTTAACATGGCACTTCAAAAAACTAATATTGTCTAGGGGTTATGATGTAAAAATTGTTTCTAACCAGATTTGATTTAACTTCTGTTTCTGTTAGTAAAATAAGAAAGTACTTTGATTTTATCAGATACCGAGTAAGTTGCATACAAAGTTGTGTGCAGTATAAAATGGGATGTCTGTAGTGAAAATCAAAGGGACCATCTATGCTGTACAACACATGGTCTTATCCTAAAATAATTGAAAATAGGCCTCAGGCCATAAGCAAGGCCCCAACTCAGTTACTTTTGACCTGAACCCGATTTTTTCAGCCCCTAACACCATTAGAAGTAGATTATCTGTTTTATGTTACCTTGTGTGAGTGATTTAGAGTAATTCTGGAAAAAACACATCCAAACAACATTAATATAATATCAAGTCCAATAAAAATACAAGTGGAGCTAAAAGTACCCTTTGCTAATGCCCGGATGAAATTAAACAGCATCTTTTATGACTTACATCCGTCCCTACTCTTCACATTAAGACAATTAGAATACAATATTAGTCAATAATTGTATTCGCTTTTCATTTTTGTTATTTAAGGAGCATTATTTGAACTTTTAGTGTGTTTCCGGAATCTTCCGTTCCATTGCTATCATGATTATTGATCATTATAAAAATTTCCTATTGCTAAAATGTTACCATGGTGATGTTTAGTACAAAAGATGATAAAAAAAACAGTAGAATCAATTAGATATAAAGAATCAATATAACATGAAGTCAAATGCATGAAACTAGCCTTTTTTATATTCTCGATTAAGGTAATGTTGAAATATTCATGACCATAGAGATATTTATTGATAGCTTTGGCAAGTAGTATTTACAATCAGTTATTTAGTCAGGGTGCAAATAGAGATCTTGTTCTAGAGCTTTACAATAATTTACATTTATTTACTTACAACAGTGTCAGTTCACTGGCACGTTAATTGAAAGATAATGACATTGCACTTCAGAATAAAGTAGACTGTAACAGTAACCTAAGATCGATGGACCATTCATTTCATTCCAAAGTGTCACCTCATGAAGGACTCTACTTCATTAGTAATGAAGATGTTGAACTTATACAGATGCCCTATGAAAAATGTGTATATCTTTACCATATCATTAAAATATGAATGAACTGCTGAATCATCTCCATGTGGATATCTTCCTTATTCTTAGTATTTAAGACCTGATTACCATAACAGGCTTCTCATGGAGGGTAACACTTCTCCCCTTTTGTAAAAAAGTTAGAATCGTATAATGAATAGACTGAATTCTCAAAGTTGAATATTAGTGTTCAATGTATGTGTATGTTAGACTCTGTTGGTTAATTAATATGTATCTGTTGTTTGTTTTAGGTAGCTCTGTTAGACTTTGTTGCTTTTGTAGCATTGTGTTTGACTGCATTGCTTATATGTAGCTGTAAATTAGGCTATGTTGCTTTTACTTGTATGTAGCTGTGTGTTAGACTGTTTCGTTTCATACAAGAAGTTGTTAGACAGTGTTGTTTGTATGTAGTTGTATGTTAGACTATATTGCTTGTATGTATTAACTCTGTTATTTGTATGTAGCTGCACGTTAGACTATGTTTGCTTATATTTATAAACTGTGTTGTTTGTATGTAGCTGTATGTGAGACTGTATTGCTTGTATGTATAAACAATATGAATATAGGGATTATTCCTCATGAGTATGTCATATTGCTCCTATTGTCAGTGCTTCGTAACCATGGCAATACATCTGTAGTAATGATATGGAATTTGGCAGATTGACAAAATCGATAGTAGGTTATTAGTTGACTTGCAATGGAATTAACCTGCCCTGCTGGCGCTTCAGGCAATGTTCTTTGTAGACTTAATAGTTTATAACATGCATGATAAATGATGGCTTTGGTTGAAACAATCTTGCAAAATTGAGAAGACTCAGAATAAGATTAAAACTATTTGAAACATTTTAATCTCAAATGATTATTATTATTTGTTCTAGTCATTGAATTATGTCTTTAATTTCAGGTATATTTCAACTGTACTGGTTAACAGCTCATTATTATTGGGTGTCACATCAATGATTATGTCATGAGGTGTCATGTTTAGGATACTAGAAATGTCATGTCATGTCTAGTTAATCACAATATTTCTAGAAAGTAAGGCTCTTGACATTGGGTAAAGTACAATTCCATTTTTGTAATTATTTTATTTTGTGGTATTGAAATTTCTATGTATTTTGTGTCTTTCAGCGCCTACCGACAGACGCTACGGTTATATACAATTATGCATGTGCCCTACGTGACAATGATGCCATATATGAAGAACTGATTGACTTCCTCAATTCCGAGACTGATTATGAGGTATGTTAAAACAATGGTGTTATCTTGATCTTGTTTTAAAAATGGAAAATATGGTAGAAACAATGAGAAAACGCATTGAATTAGCACACATGAAGTTAACACCCTGAGTATATAGAAATATATTATATCATTCCAGTTCGAAAGAAAAATTGAGGAATAGGGACTTTAATTACGTATTTGTAAATTAGATATTGCACCTGACGATTAATGCATGTTTATTATATTGTAGATTGGGAGAAAATTGTATTACATGCTGGAGAAATGCCAACATATCCTGATAAAATATTCATTGAACACATACTGTATATATGTTAATAATAGAAATTTGAATAGTATGGTTTTGTTTTAGGATAATACCAAAGCTCAAAAGCTCTGTCCAAGAAATTACACTCTAACAGTCGTTAATAGTTAATTATCAACGCTGACCAGGAATGGACTGAATCTTAGATATTTAATCCACCACCGCGAGATAAATGTATCAAGAATGCAAATACTAATGGCTTAATATAGACGATTATCACCCTCGTTGGCATATAATTTGCCCAGGGCATTTATCAAGCTCATGTTCACTCAAAGATGGCCATCTGATTATGCCTTGAACCTACCCTCATTCATTCTCGTATAGCTGATTCTTTAATGAAAACATAATGCAAAAAATGTTATTGATCAAATTCATTAAAGTTAATATAGTCAGGTTCTTGCATAGAATATCACCAGGCATAAACTCCAAAGCTACCATTTCTTTAAAATCTTAATGAAATGTCCCAACCTCTTGTATTTCTATTGAATTTAGAGGGCAGACGTTTTGCGTCTGACTCATTGCCGCCAATTCTACTTTTCTCTCTTTTTCATTTTTAGGCTTCACTACATTGACATTTTGCTCGTGGGTACAGTTCACTCCCCAGGGCCCTTTGTTTCTCCTTATCTCAGATTCACACTCTAATTGTTTTGCAATTTCCATTAGAGTTAGTGCTTATCCAATGCTGGGATTCTGCAATAACGTCAAATAAGAGAATATAGTAATCAATTATATGGCAAAGTTGCAGGATTTTGTTTCAAATCCAGGTTTTGTGGGATGTGATTGCTTGAATGATACAATTTGCTGCTTGAAACTTAAGACAGTGTTTCTGGGAAACCAAACTTTTGCTATTTTTATCTGAGACTGTTTTTATTCAATTTTGAGTGTTCACATCTCATCTTTTCCATTGTTTTTAGATTGTACGAAATGAAACTTTCTGCTGAAATCACGGGGTATTGATTTTATTCCTTGGTACAACCTGGGACTTTAATCTTTATAGGGATGTTATCACACCTATACAAAGAACTAGTTTGAAAAACTAAATGCTTATATTACCTGCATGATATTAGAAATATTAGTAGCAGGTGGTTCAGATATTGTCTTCTGTGGTACCTGGGAGAAGTATATCTGTCAAAACTTATTATTTTATCTAGTGTTCATGATTTGACTCCATTTCTCTGTAAAGTATGATAGAAGTGTTTGACTATTTGGTATTTCTATATATCAATGCTACACGCCTGTTTACATTATTCTTTACTTGCTCCACTTTTCTACCAGAGCATTTTCCAATTTTAACAGCTCTCACTACCCTTTCCTTTATAAGAGCTTCATGTACACTCCTTGATCTAGCCTCCCTTTCCTTTATAAGAGCTTCATGTGCACTCCTTGATCTAGCCTCCCTTTCCTTTATAAGAGCTTCATGTGCACTCCTTGATCTAGCCTCCCTTTCCTTTATAAGAGCTTCGTGTACACTCCTTGATCTAGCCTCCCTTTCCTTAATAAGAGCTTCATGTGCACTCCTTGATCTAGCCTCCCTTTCCTTTATAAGAGCTTCATGTACACTCCTTGATCTAGCCTCCCTTTCCTTAATAAGAGCTTCGTGTACACTCCTTGATCTAGCCTCCCTTTCCTTTATAAGAGCTTCATGTACACTCCTTGATCTAGCCTCCCTTTCCTTTATAAGAGCTTCGTGTACACTCTTTGATCTAGCCTCACCCACATCCCAGAACTTGCCCTCTCTTCCTTTTCTATCATTCCGATTACTCATCACATCTTTCTGCCTTCAACTAGAAATATGAGAGAAGCTTATAGACTGTCATGATCTCTCATGATCCTGTTCTACATACAGATGTACTATACAGATTCATTAAACCTGAGGCACTTCAAGACATTCCTCTTATGTACTTTTACATAATTTCCTCAGTTAGACAGGTAATGTAAGGTTGCTTGTGGGTGTTAGGCTAAGTATGTTGCAAGTTGTTAGGTTAGTTCTAGTGCCAGTTTCAGATTGATGCATTGTTTAAATTTGTAGGTACTGGATGCAATATGTTTTAGTTTGTAGTTAAAGTTTTTTTTATATTGCTCACTAATGCTGGCTGCAATGAGGAAATTACCACAAATAGAAAGATAAAAAATGCAAAATAATTCATCCTGGAATTAGTGTCTTATCTATAATGTTTGTATTTGTTGCAGGTACTATATAGGTCACCAATTGTTTGAGGTCATTTTCTGCATTGTTTTTTGTATTTGTTGTAGGTACTAGATCCAGTATGTCACCAGCTGTTTAGAGGAACCATTATACGGTTCACATGGGAACTATTTTCTGCATTGTTTTTTTTGTATTTGTTGTAGGTACTAGATCCAGTATGTCACCAGCTGTTTGAGTTCTATAGGTCAGAGGAACCCCTACTACGTAGGTTTACATTAGAACTAGTCCCGACCCTCATCACTGCCTATCTGATTGCACACTCTAACAACCAACTGAAGGTGAGAATATGTTTTATTTAGTCATCACTATAGTATCACTTCAAAATCTCTTGACCTGAGATTGACCCACAAAGGGCAATTGCCCAAAAAGCCCAGTTTTGCCTTGGCTATGTACAGGGTGTCAAATAAATATGTTCTCCCCTCCTTAGGGGAGGCATCAAAAGATCAATGTCTGATAGAAAACTAAATAAATCTAGTTTGGGGGAGGGGGTCAAAGCTATTTCAGTTTGCTATCCGACATATTTCAACATTTAAATTTTTTGCAATTTGGACTCAAAATGCCTTGGAATGGTTTTAGGATAAAGACTTCAAAAGATGCCTTCTTCACCAAGATACATGCAACATGGAATATTATGCCTATTGTTGTTGACACGTTATAAGAATCATAAATAAGTTATTAATAGTACTGCCCCCATGAAAGTCCAAATTGAGTCGTTAAAACATGTGAAAAGTCTGCGATCAAATTTCATTGTATTTTGTTTTGAGGGGAGGGGGGGTCTAACTCAAAACTAGATTATGCCTCCCCTTAACTTTAACATCCACATAATGTTAGATAACTTTTTTCTCTACATGATATCTAAATCGTTCTTTAGGACATCATAACTAGCCTTCACAGAGCAACTGCACAAGAAGATGACAAGCTCAACTAGGTGCACTTTATGCACAAAAGTTCATTCTCTTGAAATTAAGGGGGGAGAACATATTTATTTGACACCCTGTATTTACTGTATTCGCGGTAAAAAGCACCCAGGACACCTTTGAAATTGAAATTCCAATTGTAGAAGCCAAAATTCCCCGGGAATTCCTCAATATTTCTTGAAGTCTGTGAGGCGCGGTAGGTGCTTATTAAGGATGGGTCCTTAATACAGCAATTATGGTATCTCATTATCTATATTCAAGGTCTTGGGGTATAGGTCACCAAAATAATCTGTTATTAAGATATTTTTCAACAGATACTAAATATGAAGTGTAAAGGTTACCAATTCAAATTGGCCACATCTATTCACTTATTTTCCGATCCTTGTTATGCATTGGCTATTCATGCTCAAGAATAATTATTCCAAATCCACAATCTTATGCATCACCCTCTGAAATGACCCAACCTTAGTTGAACTCTTCATTCATTTTATACATGGGTAATTATCCTAATCTATACTTTCCTGGGGAGTATTCTAGACTATCCAAGCTGCAAAAGGAATAGCAGAATTTATAACAGAATAATGCACAATCCCCAAAAAATCGTGTATGATTTAATGGATTTCCTTGAGAGAGATCTTTTGTGTAAATTAGATTTAGTTTATTTTGCAACTGCACTTAAATTGAAATTGGAAAGCTGCAAAACTTGCAAAATAATATTCATTTTGTGATTTTTATGAAGAGGCTGTTGGAGCCAAAGAGCACGTCTCCTGAGAATTAATAAGACATCTTTCATTTTCATTTCCAGCCATGCATAAAATGATCAATATTTCAGCCATTTTAATCAATCTGGAATTGCAGGGATGGTATAATCCCAACGTCCTTCAGCCCTTTAATGTATCGCAGGCAAAGAAAGGTTAATTGCGTACCTTTTAAGATTTGCACGTAGGTAATTGAATCACTGGTACCCATTTCTTAAATGGATTCCTTTTGTGTGCAGCTTTGAAGAGATAACAAGACATTGTGATATTCTTACAACATACAGTGTTGACAAGATTAAGTTTTACTTTATTTCTTGCTTTTATTACTCTTTTTTAAAATTATGACCACCGTGGCTTTGACTAATTATTGGAAATTTATTATTTATTCAAGAAGATAGAGTATATGCTTCATTTACATGCAATTTCTTTATGGATTCCTACCAATATATTCTTTGTACACAATGATATGTCTGTGTGTTACAATATTTAAAGATCCATCCATGATTTGATATTGTTGATAATGTCTGTCATGATATCACTTTGGCAAGAATGACATAATGGTCATTTGAGAAAGGGCTCACTGGATCATATGTTACCTTTACAAAGATATCCTACCTTTACACTTGAAGATACATCTTACTTATGAACAAGAAGAGATGTTGCCCTTGCACTTGAAGATATTTTACCCTCGCACTAGAATATGTTTTTACTTGAAGATATTAGAATATTATATGAGATTATTTTCTGTTACTCATGAGTTAATACAAGAAAATATTTAGCCTTACACTAGAATATTTGTTACCCTTACACTAGAATAATTGTTACCTTACACTGGAATATTTGTTACCCTTACACTAGAATATTTGTTACCCTTATACTAGAATATTTGTTACACTTGCACTAGAATATTTGTTACTCTTGCACTAGAATATTTGTTACTCTTGCACTAGAATATTTGTTACCCTTGCACTAGAATATTTGTTACCCTTACACTAGAATATTTGTTACCCTTACACTAGAATATTTGTTACCCTTGCACTAGAATATTTGTTTCCCTTACACTAGAATATTTGTTACCCTTACACTAGAATATTTGTTACCCAAATATTTGTTACCCTTGCACTAGAATATCTGTTACCCTTGCACTAGAAGGCCTTTGCACTGGGGGATATTGCACCTTGCACTTGAAGAAGACTTCTTCATGGGGAAAAGTTATCAGAGAGGCTTCTCCCTTTGTTATTCACCTCTATTTGACATTTTCAAGCATGGTCACTATAACTTTGGGAATAGTAGAATCTCATTAACAACAAATAATTAAGTGATTGAATACTATTGTTAATCTACTAATGCAGACTATAGCGAAAGTTTAATGGAGAAATGTCGTGATAAAAGTCTTATTTAGCAGAATGTATTTGGGTGTTTGGAACATTCAAAACATGGTGTTCTTTTACATACATATGGATGAATATACAATTTTGAAATCGATATTCTCATATATAAACATTCTTGGGTGATATTTTAGGTAAATCATAGTCCAGAGGTGTAATTATAATGTAACAATAGCCTATTGTGCAAAAAAAATTATGAAATAATAAGACATTTTATCTTTAGTATTAACTGATAAATTGATTTAGAATAGAATATGCATATTTTTTGTTCTTTATATCATGTCAGATAAGACTGTAGAATATCATTAATGTCCTCTGAGAACTATTAAGTTGATAAAAACACAAGAATTTTTTATCCTCTATTGTTGCATTTTATTAGCTTACTTGAAATAGTCATGCTTGATCAGTCATGCATTTCTTACAAACATATTCATCTCAAAGAAATAATTCACTCAAATATGACACATTGCCCTTCCTTAAAATACTCTCTGAACATGCTGTATGTTGCTCTTTAAAGTTTGAACAAGTTTTTGTCATATTCTAGTTTTTCTTTGAAATTATCACCATGACTGCATTCCTCTTTCTAATTCTGCCCTTGCACTATTTTTATTTTGAAGAAATTGATAACAGAAACAATTTCTTCCAGATTACCATCAAATGATTTATGGTAGTCAAGCTTCTTGGAATATGATTTTTTCTTCAAGTTAAATAACATATAAAATTTAATTGTTTTATTAACGAACTCATATTCATTTAAATATATTTCATATTTCATTTTTTTATTCTTATTCATTTTGGAGGAATAAATTATGTCCATATAACTTCACCAATTTATAACATATCATGAATCTTTTGGGAGATATTGTATTTGAGATTGTAAGGAATAGATTGGTAGGTGAATTGTACATGTTGCTTGTAATTTTGTCACCCCCATAGATCTGATTCTGCCTTTAAATAACATATAAAATTTAATTGTTTTATTAAAGAACTCATATTTATATTTCATCTTTTTCATCTTTTTTTATTTTGTATCAAAAGCTAAAAATGCTCAAAATGATTAGATTTATATGTGGGTCCATTGTTCTTTAGTTGGAACTTGTACAACTCAGTAAATTAGTATTGATTTCTTTGTTGCTTTTACCTTTCGAGACTAGAATAATATTGGACGTATCCTTTCAATTTACTACGTAGATGCAGAAGTCTAAAAGCAGTTTTAAATAGAAAGCATAAATAGAGCAAAATGAAACAAAGAAAAATATGCCATCCTAATGAGTTATAACAAGAACTTAAAATTATAGAGTGTTAACTTATATACTCTCCTCAAAACGAACTATTTCATAAAATTATTAACATATATGGGTATTTTATCAATTATGGAAATATTTTCAAAATTATATTGCAATTAATATTAAATGCAATGTATATTAGTCTTCTTGAGTATTGACAGCATAATAAAAACCTGGATACTTTTTCAATTTCCTATCATTATAGTTGTTATTTAAGCTGATTTGAGATCATGAAGCATGTCATGATTTCAAAGAAATGACTTTTTGTGTCTTCTATCACAAAGAAACAATATCAGTTCATTTAGTAGAACCGTACGTGATATTTTCACGTCACTGATATTTCCCATAGGGCAATATTGATTAAAGTCTGACACAGAATCTCCACATGATAAAATCTGGGACACATTGCCTCCTTTTATGATATTCATGCTACAAAATGCAAACTTAGGGTGGAAAAGAGTGGAATCAGCAAGGAATAAATTAAACAGGCATATAATCAACACTCAAATTATATAATAATTTAAAAAACAATTTACTGTTATTCATTTTGGAGGAATAAATTATGGAATAGGGGTACCCACATTATGGGACCCACATTCTGCACTGTCCCTTAGAATAGACATAATCTCACAAAGAGATGACTTTTAGGCATGGGTAGACTACAAAACCTTCTCACTTCTACTTTTGTGCAGTTAATCTTATTTTTTTAATAATGAAAGTTGCCTCTGTCTTCTCTGTATAATAAACCTTACTTATGGTCAAATGCATATATATTCTCATTTTCTGAAGATCTGTCAATGTGAATGCTTTTTTCAATCTCATACTTTTAGTATGAATGCTCAATCTGAAGGCTAATAACTTGAAATGTGAACACCTGCCGATCAGAACACTTTTTGCTGGTCTGAGTGGTGTTCTGATTTTGGACAGGTTTCACTGTATTTATTTGTCTTTCAGAAATGACCAATATGTTATTCTACTCATTGTACTGTTAATATATGTGGATTGAATGTTTCTGTGATAACATGATGAAAGTACATATGAGATGTTCTACTATACAGTGTTAAAGCTACAGCAGGGGATTTACAGGGGTGGCCATGCAATATCAATGACATGTTGGACAGGCGGGATAATACAGTAAATGAGGGGTGGGTTCAGGGGGTTTATGATATCAGTGGTCACAGGAGTTAAATATTTCAGATGGATTATGGGAGGGTCTGGATTTCAGTAGAGGGGTGGCTTCTGACATTTTTTAAATCTGGCATTATTGGCTGAAAGTATTTTTCTGGCGACATTGAGAGTTACACACACATCACATGTTCAACAAACAATTTCTACAAAATGAATAATTTTGCTTTAATTTTACTGTAAGAAATTATAACTGCAGAATACTTTGTCCAACACTTTTGATCACATCTTGTAATTTTTGTGTTTCAAGTTTTGACATTTTCCTACATGTACATTTTTTCAATTATTTCAACGGATATTCCAATTTATGATGAGGTATAAAGGTCTCAGATGATATTGCACAAGCCTGTTAGACATAATGTAATATTGAATTTTGATTAATTCACCCAGCAGACTGTTTTTGAAAGGAATTTGATATTTGTTTAATATGATTATATTTGTTTTTTTTAGTTTTTCAATATAAGGAACAACAATAGAAAAAAGAAGCAGGTGGGCACATGATTTATCCTGCAAAATATCATAGCTTCATGCTTATTTCTTGTCTGGTTGTACAAATAGAGGGAATTTGAGAGAAAAGTGCATGGATCTGAAGTTAATGCTCATATTATAAAAATGCAAGAAATTTAGATATTAATGAAGTAAGCATGTAGTTAGAATGATATTATTTGAACTGAATTGGGGCATATAGAAGTGTTCAGCATACATAGATCTGCTTAGTCTTACTTCAACCCCCTGTGAACCCCCACCCCTCCCTCCCTAATACACATCCCCACAAGATAGTTGGTAGGAGTGAAGGCTGGGGATTCCATAGACTTGATGCAAGACTACAAATTGCTTTTCTAGAAATTGCTTTCAATTTAAAGCCAATATCCATAATGACATAATCAGTCTTGTCATTGGCCTAGATAGATTTTTTTTGAAAATTTAAACGGACTGCATTGTTTTCTTACATTTTCATATCATTATATTTAGAGTGATGATAACACATGAAATCTATTCCTTGCTCATTCTACTCTTTTCCCTTCTGTTTTGAATTTCAGTTCCAGAAAATGTGCTAATCAGAAATTCAGAAATTACTCAAAAATAGACATTAGAGAATGGATAATACATTCAGATATCACTCAAGTGAAACAACATGGACTTTATTATCTGTCCCTAGAACTACATACAGATTCTCAAAGCTCATCACCAACCATGAATATTTATGAGATTTGATGTTATATATCCTCCCTTAGAACATAAAAATGCTCAGAGTCACAAAGTAGTCTTTAAGTTTAATATATAACCTGACTGTAAGACATCGCAACAGTGGTCATGTACCATCCTTCTTCAAAGGACTTATTCTTAAATCCAGGTACGATTCATATTTAAATAAATGAGTTGCCCATAAAATAGTAGGTTAATCCGGTAGCTTTCATTCGCGAATGCCCTTGCTTAAATTATATTTCAAATCTAGGCCTGCTAAGAAAAATAGGAAAAAAGACAAGATTTCTTGAAAATGTGTTTTTAGTATAAATCATGACACATCAAAGTGCTATCTAGCTCCTTCCATTTCAAAATATGAGAGGCCACAGGCAACCAAGCATCTCCCATTGCAAGACAAATGATTGTCTTTCATGGAAATTGCAATAATGAAAGGTAGTAACCAGACCTTATGATACCATGAGTTTGCTCAGAGGTTTCATAGCAAAGGCAAGGGTTTACATGTGTAAAGCCTCAGTCACATTTCGTCTGTGTGGGTATAGGATGGCCATAGCTTCACAAAATCAATATGGAAAATATACATCGTACTGCTAATATATTTTATGCCTATATTTTATGCTACATATTTCTCTCAATTTTGGGAAGCTACAGCCAACGTAAGGTTGCCGTAGATCAAATGTGAACAAGGCATAAGTGAACTCGCAGTATAAGTCACATCAACTTGGAGCCTTTATGCTCATGGTATGGTGAGGTCGGTTAGTATAAGGGCTTGTGAGCCAGCTTGAAGGCACTTGCATATATCACTCCTGAATGTTATAAATCTATCAGAAACAAGTCAAATTCAAATTCTGAAGTAAAGAATTTGACTTGTTTCTGATATATTAACCAGAGAGATGAACTTACATAGAACTGTTATAAATCTATTTTTTTATGTATTAACATTCATACCCTCTAGCTGTATTAGCTTGATAATCCCTTGACAAGTTCCTCATGTTATACTTGCTATAATTCAAAGAGGAGATATTTATCTAGCTTATTAATGCAACCACTCGTCCCAAATCATTCATCATTTTTTCACATTTTGTTTCATCACCTGATTATAGAATTTACTAATGGCTTTCTACACCTGATATGCTATCAATATTGATTATTTTAGTGTTTTGTAGCTAATTGTGGTCTCGTTTATTCTCTTCCCCCTCACTCCTGCACTTCTTTCAAAGTCTGAAATTAGTTCATTTTTCAGATTTCTCTTGCAAGCACCTATACAGCCCCATCTGTCCCCTCTGGGTTGGGAAAAAGATGGGTGATTAGTGACCAGATTTGATGTATGCTGCAGGACTTTGTTCATTTGTACCCAATCTCTATCTCCTGTTTTCTTTCTCTACTTTCCTCATATGAAATACATTTTCATATATTTTTCTACCTCTCATTCTCCAGGTTTCTCTTGCTTCCCTTATTTTTGACATTTGTACTATTAAACATACATGTATGTAGTTGATGATAATAACTTGGGTGGGACTATGAAGTCATCACATGGGTCAAAAACCTAATGGTCCTTACCCTATAATCATCCAAATCCCATGTGTCAAAAACTTAATGGTTCATGTGAAACCCAATAAACTAGATGCGAGTAGAAACAATCTTGATTTACGTCATTAAATATTCAAAATTCAGTGATTTCTAGTTCGGGTTGAATCCCCATAGACCCCATGTTACAAAGTCACAAAAAGTGAAATATCTTTTCTTGTAATCGACAAATAACATTTTCCTTTACTGGACATTTTTTAATTTGCATTACTATTAGATACGTAAGGTTTTTATGAAAATTGAACTACTAAAACAAATGTAATTAAAGTTAAAGGGAACTTTCTACTATACCCGCCATGCTATCTGACCCGAACGAGCCACCTGGTGGTGAAATTGGTAACTACATACTCGCATCTGCGTTATTGTTCAAAAAATACATGGTGCTCATTCTGACAGTTTGATACACATGCAATGACTAAAGGCTCTAAAGAGATGACTAAATTTATTTTGTAATGATATTTTCTTTCATCCTCATCCTCATCTTCAAAGAGATTAGATGATTCCAATGCAGTTAGAACAAAACAAGCAAGGCTCCAGCTAGAGTTCATGTTGCTGTAGTTCTGAAAAATGTAATAAAATGACTGAATGTTTTACAAGATTAAATATGCTTTCATAATTGTCTCTGTACTTCCAGAGAAGCAGCGGAATAGAAGCTTGTTTACTGGCGATATATAACTTGGTAAGTACTGCATTTATATATTGTGAGGCATGCTTAAAAGACTCAAATGCCCATATTGGAAACCTTTACCAGCCAAAGAAATCACATTTACCAGCCCAAAGTAAACACCTTTACCGACCCAAAGAAAACACCTTTACCAGCCTGAAGAGAACACCTTTACTAGCCAAAAGAAAAACCTTTACCTGGCTAAAGTTAACACATTTACCTGGCAATAGTGAATACTTTACCTGGCTATACTGAACACCTTTACATGGCTATAGTGGACACCTTTACCTGGCAATAGTGAACACATTTCCTGCACACAGTGAACACTGATCCCTGTACATAATGAACACCTTTGTTTAGGGACAGAATATATATCTTTCTTGTGAGCTCCTCTCCATAGTCAAACATTTTGTAATAGTTATTTTGTAAGAAACACCTTTTAATAGTTTTTTTCAGAATCATCAAATACTATAGTTTGGCTTGAAGGCTCTGAACCGCAGGGGTCTTGAAGCAAGACTACAGATACTAACAAACAAATGCTTGGAAATAAAACAAACAACAACATATAACACAAACAACAACATATAACAAAAATTAAGAATAAAAAAAATAATACTAATTTTGAAAATATACTTGTGTATAAAAATGTATAAAATGTAACAGTGAAAGAAGATCATGACCTTTATATACCCTTCCCCTACCCCCTTGTACAACCAGCCTTTGGTCTCTATGAGCACCATATGGCATGACTACTGAATGCCTAAAATCAAAGCATGTTTCTGTAAATTAGAGATGTGATTATTTCCATGCTAAAGCTCAATAAACAATAAAGCAGTGTTTTATAGCAGGTGGGACTTATTAATATCTGTATACAGGGGCCATATTGATGTGATACATTATATGATTTTGAACCTAACTCGGGTGGGAATGGCAGGATATCAATAATTTTGCCAATTCCTCAGTGATTTGTTCAGTGCTACCATGCCTTCAATCAATGAGGTGCTTCAATCAGAGTAGCTTTTAGATATCTAGCTTTTGAGAATATAATTTGGTATTTCATACCTGCTATGTACAAATAGTTAAAATATGATGGAGTATGTATGGTACATACATAGGCTTCAATTAAGATTTTCCTTGTCAAAGGATTTTTTCAGAAGAATAATGTTTTACGATTAGTCTTATTGTCAGATAGATAGTTGGTTGTCTTTTAAATGTTTTTTTATTATTGCTGTTGTTATGTTTTAAATTCATAATTTATGAATCAGAATGGCTAGGCTCATCATTTAGGGGTTGATTAAATATCAATATTTGTTATGGCTACTTTATTATGACATCACAATTGTGGTTCCACCAACAACAATAACGATCTTTCAGCTATGATGTATGATTAACTAAGGTTGATTTGTAACATTAGTATAGCATGATCAATGTCAATACTCATTCATTCGTATCTTTTATATCAAATAATTCTTACTTGGATATTTCTTTGATCATTGTTAATGCGAATAAAGATTTATAAATTGAAATTGTAACCTTTGAGCCTCAAAGCTCTTTCCAAGTAAACCATGTATCATTTATCATGTATCACAGTCAGTTATCTATAACATGTCCTGTGAGAATGATATCATGGTGGTCATTGTAAAATATTGAAAATAGAATGGAGAAGTGTGGAATTCACAAAGAATATCAATAGCATGTCCTGTGAGAATGATATCATGGTGGTCATTGTAGAATATGGAAAATAGAATGGAAAAGTGTGGAATTCACAAAGAATATCAATAACATGTCCTGTGAGAATGATATCATGGTGGTCATTGTAAAATATGGAAAATAGAATGGAAAAGTGTTGAATTAACAAAGAATATCAATAACATGTCCTGTGAGAATGATATCATGGTGGTCATTGTAAAATATGGAAAATGGAATAGAAAAGTGTGGAATTCACAAAGAATATCAATAACATGTCCTGTGAGAATGATATCATGGTGGTCATTGTAAAATATGGAAAATAGAATGGAAAAGTGTGGAATTAACAAAGAATATCAATAACATGTCCTGTGAGAATGATATCATGGTGGTCATTGTAAAATATGGAAAATAGAATGGAAAAGTGTGGAATTAACAAAGAATATCAATAACATGTCCTGTGAGAATGATATCATGGTGGTCATTGTAAAATATGGAAAATAGAATGGAAAAGTGTGGAATTAACAAAGAATATCTATAACATGTCCTGTGAGAATGATATCATGGTGGTCATTGTAAAATATGGAAAATAGAATGGAAAAGTGTGGAATTAACAAAGAATATCAATAACATGTCCTGTGAGAATGATATCATGGTGGTCATTGTAAAATATGGAAAATAGAATGGAAAAGTGTGGAATTAACAAAGAATATCTATAACATGTCCTGTGAGAATGATATCATGGTGGTCATTGTAAAATATGGAAAATGGAATAGAAAAGTGTGGAATTCACAAAGAATATCAATAACATGTCCTGTGAGAATGATATCATGGTGGTCATTGTAAAATATGGAAAATAGAATAGAAAAGTGTGGAATTAACAAAGAATATCTATAACATGTCCTGTGAGAATGATATCATGGTGGTCATTGTAAAATATGGAAAATAGAATGGAAAAGTGTGGAATTAACAAAGAATATCAATAACATGTCCTGTGAGAATGATATCATGGTGGTCATTGTAAAATATGGAAAATGGAATAGAAAAGTGTGGAATTCACAAAGAATATCAATAACATGTCCTGTGAGAATGATATCATGGTGGTCATTGTAAAATATGGAAAATAGAATGGAAAAGTGTGGAATTAACAAAGAATAAAGTAAACAGACATGTAATGCATAGACTTAATTCAATAGACATGTTAGAAAACAATGCATTTTATTCATATTTAATAGATAAATTCATAGAATAAACATGATCTAACTCCAGAGAGAGGGTTTTAAGTTTTAGCAAAGAATAAGTTCATTTTTCACATTTGTTAATGTCTGTATCATAAGTAAAATAAAGCCACAAACTGGCTACTCATTTAGTAGCTTTTAAACTGATTTTTAACAGATCAAGAAATCATAAGTTGACTAAAGATGAATTGATGCTTTAATTCCCATGAATGTGTATAACAGTATATGCTCTTGTTTCTATGTTCCTAAGACATGCAAAAAGTCCTATTGCATTGTCCATGTGATCTATTTTAGCCAAAACATTAGTTGACTTAAAAGATGCAATGACTTTCCATGCGTATGATTAGATATTGATTTCACAAACTTAACGCCCACAAGTCTTTACAAGATACCAGTGAGGAAATCTTAGAGATTTCATTGTCTAGTGCCTACAGGATACCAACCACTACAACCAGGCAGTTCTGAACATTATATAGTTTGGTGCCTACAAGATACCTGCCAGGCAGTCCTGGACCCTTGAATTCGTACGATCCCCAATCTAATTCGGATAAATTTTATCTTTTGGGATAAATCTTGGATTACTAATCCAATAAATATTTGGTGAATTCGTACGATCCGAGGATTATGAGGGGGAATCCCCAAGATTTATCCAATTTGCGTTGGAATTTCGGATAAAATTTATCCAAAAAGTAATCTACCTCAAGAGGTGGATTGATATTTATCCTGAGATTAATCCCAGGATCGTACGAATTCAACGATTTTTGGATTAATTCTTGCATTAATCCCACAATGCATCATTACCATGATGAAATTTATCCGGATTGGATCGCGGATCGTAAGAATTCACCGCCCCTGGACATTACATTACCTGGTGCCTACAAGATACCTGTCAGACTGTCCTTGACATTACACTATCTGGTGCCTACACTATACCTGCCAGGCAGTCTTAGACATTACACTATCTTGTGCCTACAAGATACCTGCCAGGCAGTCCTGGACATTACATTACCTGGTGCATACAAGATACCTGCCAGGCAGTCCTAGACATTACACTATTAGGTGCCTACAAGATACCTGCTAGGCAGTCCTAGACATTACACTATTAGGTGCCTACAAGATACCTGCCAGGCACTCCTAGACATTACACTACCTGGTGCCAACAAGATACCTGTCAGGCAGTCCTAGACATTACACTATCTTGTGCCTACAAGATACCCGTCAGACTGTCCTAGACATTACACTATCTGGTGCCTACACTATACATGCCAGGCAGTCTTAGACATTACACTATCTTGTGCCTACAAGTTACCTGCCAGGCAGTCTTAGACATTACACTATTAGGTGCCTACAAGATACCTGCCAGGCAGTCTTAGACATTACACTATCTTGTGCCTACACTATACCTGCCAGGCAGTCTCAGACATTTCACTATTAAGTGCCTACAAGATAACTGCCAGGCAGTCTTAGACATTACACTATCTTGTGCCTACAAGATACCTGCCAGGCAGTCCTAGACATTACACTATCTGGTGCCTACAAGATACCTGCCAGGTAGTCCTAGACATTACACTATCTTGTGCCTACAAGATACCTGCCAGGCAGTCTTAGATATTACACTATTAGGTGCCTACAAGGTACCTGCCAGGCAGTCTTAGACATTACACTATCTGGTGCCTACAAGATACCTGCCAGGCAGTCTTAGACATTACACTATCTTGTGCCTACAAGATACCTGCCAGGCAGTCTTAGACATTACACTATTAGATGCCTACAAGGTAGCTGTCAGGCTACACTATCTGGTGCCAACAAGATACCTTCCAGGTAGTCCTATACATTATACTATTAGGTGCCTACAAGATACCCCTCAGGCTGTCCTTGACATTACACTATCTGGTGCCTACACTATACCTGCCAGGCAGTCCTAGACATAAGACTATCTGGTGCCTACAAAATACCTGCCAGGCAGTCCTAGACATTATACTATTAGGTGCCTACAAGATACCTGCCAGGCAGTCCTAGACATTACACTATTAGGTGCCTACAGGATACCTGCCAGGCAGTCCTAGACATTACACTTATAGGTGCCTACAG